CTCACAGTGACTGTTTGAGTGGAGTGTTCTTATTGTCCTCACATTATAGATGATGAAACTGAGCTGTAGAGAAGTTAAGTAATCGTCAAGGCCACACAACTTTGTAAGTGGTAGAGCTGTGATTCATACCCAGGTCTGACTCCGAAGTCTATGCTTTTAGCCAAATAACTACTGAGTACATGCGGGGAAAAGTCAGAAAATCAGATTTGAGAACAAGTCTAGTTATTCTCACCAGACACCAAGACCAATTGTTCTTCCTGAGAGGCAATAACGTAATCATTTAAGAGCCCAGACTCAGGTCAGAAGCCAGGCTTTCTGGGTTCCAATTCTGACTTTGGTAATTATAGGCTGTGTGACCTGGAGCAAGTTACTCAGCCTCTCTGTGCCTCAGTTTTATCCTCTGTAAAATGTAGGTAATAATAGAACCTACTTCGTTGGGTTGCTCTAGGATTAAGTTATTCTTTCTATAGCACCTAGGACAATGCATGGCATAGAGTTGGCACTATATAAATATTGACTGTCATTAGTCCTACACCTCTTTCTAAGTTTAAGTTCAGGAAGTTGAAAGGAGAAAGACAAAATCCTGGGAGGAAAGTTATATGCCAGGGATATTACAAAACCTCATAATTCACCCTCCAATGAGCAGGTCCCTTCCTATCCCCAAGCTATTAATACATGAAGCAATGCTTTGTTGAAAGAGCAACAGTTTTGGAGTCAGAAAGGCTTGAGTTCAAGTTCTTGCTTCAACATCTATTGTGTGGCCTGGGCAAGTTTCTTGACCTCTTTGAGCCTGTTTGTAATACAGACAAAATCATATCCATGGAGGGATTGTTGGGAGAAGTAAGAAAGTTAGGTAATATATTCGTATGGGAGCATCTCAGCTGTGCACAGAAGCAAAATCAAGGTTCTTTATTCTACCAAAATCTTGCTCAGGAAGAAAAGTCAGACCGTTGGTACTAAGCTGGTCAGACATTAATTAAGGGCAGCTTCTTTTGCCGGATCTGTACCAAATGGCACTGTATTTGGTAGCAAAATCTCTTTGCATTCTGGCTTATTAAGTCATAAAGCAAAAACCCACCTAAATTTCAGTCATTTTTAGGGCCCTTCTTATGGAGAACTGAAGTTTTTAAAATATTGCAGGTAAACGAGAATTACTGTTGAGGCTCAAAGCACACACTGACCTTGGGGGCAGAGCTGGTTCCCTTGTGCGACTGTGGGCAAGTGACCTAACTTTTCTGGACCTTCATTGCATCACCTGCAAATTAGGAGAAACAATATCCACTCCCAGAGAGTTTTGTAAGGGATTAAATGACATAATATAAAACCTACATTCATCCTTGCTGCTTTTCTCCTATGAAAATGGACTAGACACCTCTCTTTTCCTCTGAGGTTAATCCCTCCTCCTTGCCTTCTAAGAGATGCACCCCACCAGTCATCTTCTCTCTTCTGTATCTTCTTTCCGTTGCTCTCTTTACCACGTCATTACACTCATCCCCATTAACGTTTATATAGGTCTAAGTTTCTCCCATTAGAAAAAAGAAAAAGCAGTCCCTCAAATACACATCCTGCAAATTTCCTGAAAGAACTGACCTTCCCTGCTATCCCCATTTTATCACCTCCTCTTCCTCAATTCTTTCTATCTATGTCATGCCCACACCACTTCTTTGAAAATGTTTTCACCCAAGCTACCAAAAAGTCCCCTCCAGCAGACAATGTTTAGACCTTAATTTATTTGACTACTCTGCAGGATCCACTCTGGTTGGCCATTGCCTCTTTTAAAACATTCTTCCCCGGGTTCCCTAAGGTCTCATCTTCTGTCTTTCTTCCTTCCTCTCGGGCTTATTCTTATTCTTCCTTCATAGGGTTTTTCTTCAGAGGCCAAGGCAAGGAGAAATCAGGCTCATGGAAGCTATTCCCAAGTAATAATAAGCTATGTTGGCTGAGCACCTCTTAGGCGGATACCACAATAACCCCATTTCAGAGATGAGGAAACTGAGGCACATAAGTTAAGCAACCTACCCGAGACCTCTCAGCTTGTAAGCGACAGATTTAACCCAGAGAGCACCTCTGGACTTGCACTGTTAACCCTCCTGCTATCCTACCTCTGCATATAATCCTACAGTAACAAAAGTTGAAATATGGGCAGCCCGCTTTCCAGGTGGGATGAAGCTGCAGGCAGGTCTGTCTCTGACACATGGGGAGCAGCTGCTGTCCCAAGTGAAAGAAGGCGGTGGGACTGGGGCGGACAGCAGGCGGCTGGTCCTCATTTCTAACATGGAGTGGCTGGGGTCACAAGACTCAGAGCCCAGAGGGGTTGATATCCAGGGGCCTGAAACAAGTTTGTGAGGGGAGCTCAGGAAGCCTAGAAGAGCTACAGAAGGAGGAGGCAGGCACCCTGGAGGAATTCCTGACTGCTTCCATGGGAGAAAGAGCCACGGGTGTCCCAGGTCCCAGGAGCACTATTGTGTGGCCCACCCACAGGCCCAGAATGCTACAGGCCCTCTGGGGACTGGGAAATGAGGCCCAGCCCTGGTGCCAAGGCCAGGGCTCTGCCCAGCAAAGCAGTTGGCAAGAAAGCCCACTGCCCCAGTGGGACAGAGTTGCTAGTCCCCAAAACGGAGGTTCTGGTTTCTTGCAGGGAGAGGTCTGGGGTTGAGGTTTGTACCTTAGGACGCTGCCTCTAATCCTGAGCCTCTGAGCGGCTTTGGGGATCTGCATTCCCAATCTGCACCCTGCCACGCCGCTTCGTGCAGAAACTGCTGGGCTTTCCTCCCCCACACCGCCTTCACTGCCACCCACAGCCCAGGCTGCCCCCCTACCAAGAGGCAGAGTCACTGAACCTCTCCGAGTCCAACAAGGACCTGAAATTAAGAGCTGGACACAGACCTCTTAAGCCACACATATGTGTCCCTGTTAGTCCTCTGGGTCACACCTGCCCACACCCACATTTGTTTTCTTGTTCCCTCTGCCCAGAACACTCCTCACCACATGAAACCACTCCAGACCAAATCCAAGTCATCATCCATGACCACGTGCCATGTACTTCTCAGGGTCTTCCCCATCCCAAATCCCAGGCAAGATTAATCCCCTCCATCCTGTTGGTCCCCACAGCACTTGGTTTGTATTTGTCATGCAGCCTAGGGACAGTCTAACTTGCATGCCACTTCCCTGGGAGCTGGTGCTACCAAGCAGTATCAGACCGAAAGCTCACTGGGGGCAGGAACTGTGTCTCATTCATCTCTGCTTCCCACTGCACCTAGCACAGCCCCTTTCCTTGGGTGCCCGATGGGTAAATCCATCCATCCAAGAGACATCGATTGACAGGGCACCTCCTGGCTGAGTGTCTAGGAGCTGAGTTAGGAACTGCATGTGTGACAAAGTTAAAGAACTGAATGTGTTCACCTGTCTCTCCTCCACCTTTTTAAAAATTGACTTTCTCCCAGCCATTGTCCTTATTCTGTTGTGACCGTAGAACATTTCTGGTTGTTCATGGAGGCACGAAGAACATGCCTCCGTAGATCACGAGCACCCAACACACTGGTCTCAGTCATGTCAAGTGGGGCCAGCTCACAGTGGCAGGATATTCACGTGGGATCACATAGGTCCTGGAGAGGGATAGGGGTACACACCCTCCCAGGACTGGACCCGTGCTGGGGCCCATCCTCCCCCTGCCCCTGGTTTCCTTTTGTGGAGAGAGAGAAGTCAGTCCTGGACAGAGCCTCAAAATCCATCTATTTCAAGCCTGTCATCTTGCAAACCTGAGGCTCAGGAGTGGCAGGGAGCACATAAGCGGTTGGTGACAAAGCTCAGATGAGAAACCAGATTCAGGGTTGCTTTGCTGTGTCTCAGATGTTACCTGCACTCCTGCGTGAGCTCCGCTTTGGCTGCAGGACACAGTGGGAAGGGCACTGAGACCTAGGTGGGCTCTGCCACCGACTTGCTATGGGACCTCGGTAAGGCTCTACCCCTCCTGGGGCCTCAGCCTCCTCCCGGGGAGAGGGAGGGGGGCTAGATGACAGCTAACATCCACTCTTGCTCAAGTCTGCGGGATCCCTGCCGTGCTTTGCGTTCACAGGGGAAATGCAAGACGGCGGGGTGCGGGGGGAGTTTTTGCAGTCACCTGTCCTGGTCTTTGAGATTTTCGAAGCAGCCAGCATTCGCCTTTCACATCTGGCTCAGTGATTTCTTCGGCAAACCTTCCCACAGCCCTAGCCACCATTCGTAATATTTTACAGGTTTAACTCAGGTCTTGTTTGGGTTTGGCGTCCCTGTCAACCCACTAGGTTGACACGCTCACACACGTGACAGACAGTAATTAACATGCCGCTTAGCAGGGTGCGATTAACACGGCCCAAATCCTCGACAGTAACTGCAGAGATAAAGAACCTGCACTTCCTGTTGTCTGTCAGCCCCTTGCCTGATGCTGCTCACGGGGACAGGACATCTCGTGGCACGCCTGCTCCTGCTACCAGGGACGTTTCAACTCATCAATCACTCACAAAGAGTGTCCTTTACTCAGGAGCACTCCAGCCATGCCGATGGTTTCTTTTAAAGCAACTTACACACCGTCACTCTCTCCCTCCCTTTTAGCTCTGCGGATGTGCTTTTCTTTGTCCACACTCCTGATGGCTGGGCAGAGGCACCCTGAGAAACACGAGAACAAGTCCCGTCTGGCTTGACTTTATGGGTGGCGGCCAATGTGCAAAACAAACACTCAGGCAAAGCCTGTCCTCTGTCAAAGGGGACTTGCTTTACCTCCAGCTTTGTGGAACACCCTGCCCATTACACGGAGCTACATTCCAGCCATCGCCACCCCCCGGGAATGTACTAGAGGGACCAGACAGCCATGGAGAAGGAGCAGCCTCTGAACAGAGCCCTAAAATACCAAGTCCAGCCTTCAGAGCCCCCAAGGCAGGCAGCCATCCCAGCTGGACACTGGCTGGTCCAGGGGAAGCACAGGCTTCCGACAAGAACCTGGCGGAGCAGATGCCACTACTCACCAGCCATGTCTCGCCTTCCTCTGCCTCCTCTCAGGCTCCTCTGGGAATGGCACTGATGGCGATGAGAGATGAGAGACAGGCCGCTGGGGATCGCCTTAGCATTTATAGAAGCCTCTCCTACACATCCCAATTAAGATTCTAATGAGGTAGGCGAGGCACCAGATCATTCCTGTAGTGCCTGTAAACGTTTCACTTACGACATACACTTGTCACCCAATAGAAGGTCATCACGCTTGTGCAAGACCAGCTTGGGGAGAAGGAGGAAGATAAGAAAGAAACTCGAATAGTTCTGTTAGAGCCAGTTCCCCTCGGCCCCAGGAACAGAGAGGCAGAGTCACCGAGGCTGCAAGAGGCAAAGGAGTTTATTGGCTAGCTCGAGCTAGGGTCCAAGTCCCAGAGCACCAACGCAGTGGCCTCCCTATGAGCCAGGACCCCGCCCTGGGGTAAAAGTGAAGCTTTTGTACTTTCTTTCGCACACGACACACTGGTGGCACACGACACGCAGGTTCCACACGACACGCTGGGCACACCATCTCCCCCTTCCCCCTTAGTCCATTAGTTCCTTTGAAAGTGACGGATTGTTTTGACTCCTGATTGGTTGGCTCCAAGCCCCAGGATTTTCAATTTTCGCACCGGTGCCAGTTGACCAAGAATGCTGGTCAACAACAGCCGCAACGCTGGCTGAGAACAGCTGCAATGCCCTGATACGGTGAGCTGGTGGTATGCTTTCTTCTGATCGGCTCTCTCCCGTTTGTGGTTTTTGCGGTTATTCCTGGTATCCCTACTTCACACTCCCGGCACTGGGCATTATGCTGAGGCACAACCTGTCATGGAGTTACTCCTGCTCTTACTCCTATATTTAACAAGCAACTAAAAGCAAGCACGGTTACAGAAGCAAATGGCATTAGTTAGAATCAAAAAGAATGCATTCATAAAAACAACAAAGTACAACAAAGTATATTCTGCTACTATTAATTCCTGTCTTTCAGTTCACTTTTATGATTTCTTAAAAGGATGAACAACTTCCTGGACCACAGGGTTTAGGGAATGAGACCATACTTTTCTTGAAGTATCTTAGTCTGAGCTGATACTGGAAAGTTCTCTCTGGGTCAAAGTAGCATCTCAGGAGAACCCAGAAGCAGAAAACTGTGAAGCCCTTTCTCACTACACACATCTATTAGCAGTTTCCACTTGTACAGGGACACGAGACATAACACAGTGTTTGCTCAGTGTTGCGGTTCAGCAGAAAGAGCGTTTCATTTAGAGGTAGAAGTCGCTGGTCCTGTTGGTGGCTGTGCTCTGGGCCATCTCTAACCTTGAAGCCTGGAAGCCTTGTTTGTAATTGGGGATAATCATACCCACCCCTCTCAACTCACAAAGTTGTAAGCAAAATCACACAAGATGATGCAACTAGAAAGTGCATATGTGTATATTATAACGGATTAAACCCAGAGAGCACCTAGAATTGAATGTCAGTTTGATTCCAGATTGGGGGAAAGTTGTTCTTTTTTTTTTCTTCTTATTTTTGAGGCAGGGTCTCGCTCTATTGCCCTGGCTGGAATACAGTGGCAGGATCACAGCTCACTGCAGCCACAAACTGCTGGGCTTGAGCGATCCTTCTGCCTCAGCCTCCCGAGTAGCTGAGACTACAGGTACATGCTACTACACCCAGCTAATATTTAAAATTTTTTTTGTAGAGTGGGATCTTGATAGTTGCCCAGGCTGGTCTTGAACTCCTGGCCTCAAGCAATCCTCTCACCTTGGCCTCCCAAAGCGCTGGGATTACAGGCGTGAGCCACCGCAGAATAAAAAGAATAAAAAGTACTCTTTTTAATGGGGCAGGAGGCACAGCCCCTGACCCTCTGGTTCTGCCACGTGCTCTCTCTCGGACTGCAGGGCACGTCACTGACGCTCTCTGGGCCCAGCTCCTACATCAGCTAAAAGAAAGGACATGGGAGTGGGGAGAAGCTCTGACATTCTACATTTTTTTGTTTGCTTTTTTGTTTTTAAGGGGATATGTTTTTCCAGAGATACTGTTACGGATATTTACAAGTATCAAGGATTCCTATGATAGATAGACAAGGGGGCTAATATTTTTAAAAAGTAGTGCTTCAAGGACTCACGACAGAACAGACACTTCTCAAGGCTTCCACCAGTCTTGTAGTGGGAAAGGAGGACCGAGAACCATCACGACAAGGCTGGGTCTTTAGGGAGAAGGTGGGGACACTGCATCTTGAGAAAGGGAAGACTGAATGGACAGGCGGCTTGGGAAATTAGAAAAGAAGAATGAACATCCTTTCTCCATCCTCTGGGCTTCTGTAACAGGACTCTGTTACCAACGTGTGTCCACTGTGCTGCAACTATCTGTCTGTGTCCGTCCCCATCCTAGACTGGGCTCCTTTAAGGTACAGGTTGCATAGTGTTCTCAGAACCTGCCGTAGGACTTGACACATGGCAGGGACACACATATTTCCGAATCAGCGACTCAATCAGTCACCGTAAGGATGGGGATGATCACTGTCGTGGATTTAGTGCTTACTGTGGGCAGACACTGGCCACACACTTCACATACACTACCTTTTCTCACCTTCATGGCATCCCTGCCACACAGGTGCTGTTACTATTGCTATCTTATGGGGGCACAAACAGATTAATCTGAGTGTATCCGACCAGGAGATTCATACCCATGTGTCAGTGGCTTTGTTTGCTTGACGTCTGAGGTGAGCTGCCTGCATGACGTGGGAACTCAGCTCTAAGAGCGGTGGCTCTGCACCCGTGTCAGGAGGAATGGGACCCACTTTGGATCTGGCAGATGACCCAGAAGAGAGCAGAGGGCAGAGAGGTGCACGCAAAGAGCACTGGACCCAATTAGAAGGTTCAAGTGCGGTCTTGGCCCCTGCCGTGGCACTGGCTGTAACTCTGGGCAGAGCCCTTATTATTATGCCGAGTCCCGCCAGAAACCTCGAGAGCTGCTCTGTGAGTTGAATGGGATGAATGGACGCGAAAATGCTCCACGTGCTCCGAAGTGTGGTGTAAAGAAAGGAGGGGTTTTGCTTATTATTATCGTTGTTGTTGGCCTGGGAGCCAAGAAAAATCGGGTCCTTTCAATGACCCGACGAAGAAACCCGCAGAGGTGACAGGCAGGCAGGTGGTGGTGCCCTTAGAAAGGAACCCGAGGACACACAGACTTGGTGCAAATCCCGACCCTGCCAAGTCGCCTCACCTGTCGGTGCCTCTGCTCCCTCATCTGCAAACCTGCGGCGGAATCCGGAATCGCCGCGAGGACTAAAGGAGACGAGGGCTGAGAAATGCTTAGTGCAGCATCTGGCACAGCCCAGCGTAAGAAGTTAGTGTTGATGCTGTCAGTGTCACCATCCTTCCAGGGCCCGGGTGGCACAGATTTTTCGAGGGGACCCGCAGGTTCGGACAGTGGTGCATGACCACTGACCGCTTGGTCTTCCCTCGGAAGGGTCTGTAGCTGATCAATCTTGACCTCAGTGTGATGTGGTAGAAAAATACCCCAAGCTGGATTCAGAAGGCCTGGATTCAAAGCCAGGCTCTGTAGCTTGCCTACTACGTGACCTCGGCTGAGTCCTTTTACGTCTTTGGCTCTCTGTCTCCTTCTCAGCCTGAACCACACACCTTCCGGGGCTGTAGGGAGGCTCAAAACCACTGTGAAGTTGCAGGTGCCATGCTCCTCTGTAGACAGGCTAAGGGCACAGACGTCGGGGGCCAGCTTCCCTCCTGTCCTCCACGGCCCCTCTAGCCAGGCTCGCCGGTAGCCTGCGAACCGACCAGCGGCAGGGCCCCGGCAGGAGCTGACTTAATGTCAGCCACTGGGGATTGCGCCACGGCCGCAGCCACAGCCCTGACCTGCAGGCGGGCTATAATTTGTGCGCTGTGTCACAATTCCAGCTAAATGATTTTCAAATTCATAGGTGGAGTCACCTGGCTCCACAGGATGAAATTCCTGCTTGGCCACGCTCTGCACCGCAGACTCCAGCGAAGATGGAGCTTGCGAGTGTGGGCTTTTAAAAAGAGAAGCTAATTGATCACTTGCCTTTTTTCTCCCTCTAATTAAGGGATTTAGGGAAGTTTCACAACATGTGCAGAGGCACAGAATCTTAGGAGAAGTTATCCAGCCCAGATTGTTTTGCAGCGAAAGAATCCTCTCCCCTGACACATTTCTCTTGACAGCTCCAGTGATGAGGATTGGACCTCTCAGAGCAGGCCATACTTCAACTCGAGACGCTCTGGCTATAACATTAATTTCTAGGGTGGTTCTGTTTAAGGCCTGTCTTCCCCCATTTCATATGAGCTCCGGGAAGACAGGGACTTTCCCTCCCCAGTGGTTAGCACTGTGCCCAGGGCATGCAGTGGACTCTCAAGATAATTGGGTTAAAATGCATTGAAGGGACCAGAAAGTTCTTCCTCGTTTGAACTGAAATTTTATCTCCCTGGAGCTTCTACTCATTGACCCTCACTGCTCCCTCAACACCCTCTCATTGGGACCACGTAAATCCCTTTACCCAGAAATGACCATGTTCTCCCCCAAGTCTGGCAAACCCCCCCTCCCTCCCAAAAGTCTTCTCTTTTCTAGGTTAAACACCAGTTTCTTCAACCATAGAAGAAACTGACCAAGTCATGATTTAGAAGCTTCTCTGAAAGCTTTAATGACTCCTCATGGGCTCATACAGCCCAAATTCCTTAGTTTGTCAGTCAAGGCCTTCCAGAATATATTCAATCTTAATTGCATTATTTTCTGCTACTCTTCCATGAACTCTCCTACTCAGCAAACTGTGTCTAATCATTTTTCCTAGAGCCCAACAAGATTGTCCCTGCCTGTTTGTAGGACGTGCCTGCCTGGCACACTCACCTCCCTCCTTACCTATCTATGTCTCAACACCACCAAGTCCCAGAGCAAGCCTCTGCTCCTCCCGAGCACTCAGTGTGGTGTTGTGGAAAGAGCATTTGTACGAAATGAGCAAACCTAGGTTTAAGCCCCAGGGTCACATTCTAACTGCATGAACCACCTTGGGCAAATCACTTAACATCTCTGAAC